AATAGGCTGACTGAATTCCAATGCCAGGAGTGCTGGGAAGAAATAAAATGGAATATTTGCTAGAGAAAGTTCTTTCAGTTCTCAGGTTTCATTTTTCCACCCTGGGGAATTTGCGGAAGGTTATTTCTCCTCTCAAATTTCTTCCTTTATCTTCCTGAATTATCATTCTTCCTTCAGGCCTCAACTGAAACTAGGAGCTTCTCTTAGATAAAGGATCTTTTCACATACTCCCATTTGTACGCAGTATCTTTTGTAATGTTCATTACATTAATAAGTATTTCTTCAGTGTCTATTATGCCACATATCACAAAGTCTTGGGGTGTGTGTGTGTGTGTATTGTCTTACTGATACATCTCTGTCCACCAGCATATGCTTGAAATGGAAATTCTTTTTATATTTTCCTGAAGGTCATTTGATCATGAAGGTGTAAAAATCATCTGCAGATCACATATTAAGTAAAATCACATGGGAAAGAAATGCAGTTAGGCTAAAGAAAAACTAAGTGGTCAGTGATTGTCACAAGATTCTAGAATGGCACTGAATGACACCATGGGCTAAACTGTTGTGAGATGAAGCAAATCATTTCCTGTCTCGGCCTCCTGAATGTTGGGATTACAGGTATGCTCCAACATGCCCAGGCATTTCCTAGAATTTGGAAGCAAGCAGTTTCATGCTTATAAAAAGGTAGGAGAATATGCAGGAGACACAAGTAAATGGATATTTGAACTATACAAGCATTAAGTCACTAGAGTAAATTCTCTCTTGTATGAGGATCAAATTTAAAAATGAAAAGGGCTCTCCACTTCCAATATCAAGTAATATATGTAGCACAGTAAAACATTCAAGACAATAAAGAAAGGAGCAAAGAAGTTAACATGAGTCATACTACCATCACATTTTATTTGCATATATACTCATCTATGTGTTTCTGTAAGTGTATTTATATATTTTTATTTTAAAAAATAAACATCCATGCTTGTACAAATTGTTTTATTTCATTAAAAAATGTGAACAAATGCTACACATTTTAATAGTTAATAGTCCCTCATGTAGACTATTCAACTAATTATTGTTAAGTAGTCATCATTCCTGATAAACTTTCCAAGTATTTTCTTCTCTCTCTCTCTCTCTCTCTCTCTCTCTCTCTCTCTCTCTCTCTCTCCATAGTGTCTTGCTATATTACATAGTTCAGGCTGGCCTTGAAATCATTATGTATGCCAGTACTGCAAAACAAATGAATATTTTTCGTATTTAAAACGTGTTTTGCAGGGCTGGCCAAATAGCTCAGTGGATTAAAGTGCCTGCAAGCAGGCCCAGGGGAAGGGGTTCAATCCCCAGGGCCTGCCTTGCTAGACCCACCCCCAGGGCAGGCTGAGATGGCAATTGAGACTGGGCATGGTGGCACAAGCCTGCAATCCCAGCATTTGGGAGGCCGTAAACAGGAGGATCACAAGTCTGATCTATGCAGTGAGTCCCTGCACACCAAAAAAAAAAAAAAAAAAAAAAAAAACCCACAAAACACAAAAAAAAACATGTTTTGCAGTACTGGGGATTGAAAAATAAATAAATTAAATAAAAATAAGCTTTGATTAGATTTTTGCTATAAATGAGATTTTCATAGCTAAATACTGGACACAACCCAAATGCCTATCAACTGAGGAATGGATTTTTAAAAAGATGTGATATTTTTATTCAATACAGTATTAGCTATAGGGCCAGCTGGATAGCTCAGCAGGTTAAAGTTCCTGTTTAGACAGATGCAGCAGCACGAGTTGGATCCCCAGGGTGCCATGCTGGTCTTTTCCCGGGGGCATGTTGAAATGGCCATTGAGACTGGGCATGGTGGCACGCCCGTAATCCCAGCGCCTGGGAAGCTGAAAAACAGGAAGGATCACTATAAGTCGGATCTGTGTAGTTAGACTCTGTAGGCCCTGTACTAAATACATAAAAATAAATAAATAAATGTATCGACTATAAAAAAAAAACCTCTCAGCTTTTATAAGTAAATGGATACAACTAGAGACCATACTAGTAAGTGAAAGAAATGAGACCCACATGTGTGAACTGTCTACCTACTGTAAGAAACTGAAAGAGTAAATAAAATCCAAGAGGTACAATAGATACTGTGAAAGGGAAACAAACTGCTCAAAGGGAAAGAACAACTGGAATGAGGGAAAGGAGAAAAGAAAGAAAGAGATTGGGGCTGGGGAGGTAGCTCAGTAGAATAAGTGCTTGCCTGGCAAGCACAAGGGTCTGAGTTCAATCCCTGGTTCTGCCAAAACAGAAAAAAAAGAAAAGATAGATAGACAGACTTTGTACTACAGATTTATTTCTACTGGTTTATTTAAAGGAATAGTTAATGCTTAATTGTTTGATCAATTTTGCATGCCTATATCTGATAATCTGAACAACTACTTTGGAGATAGCAATATGCACTATAACAATCTTTGTTAATTTCGTGTCATGTTGTTTTGAAATTCTGTATCTTTTTTATTCTCTTTAAAATAAAAACAAAAACGTTTGCAGTACTAGGTACTGATTTTAGGACTTCCACATTGAGTTGTATCCCCAACCCTAACTGAGACTACTTCTCCCTAATGCTCTGAGTTGCCCAGGCTGTGCTCAACTTGCCCAGGCTGGGCTGGAACTTCTGACTCTCCTCCCTCAGGATTCCCAGAGTGCCAGGATTATAGAAGTGTGCCACTAGCTAAAAACTTTTAATTAACTCATAACGCTAGTCATACCTGAGTGGCTTCCCCCTTGTCCTTAAATCTCCAATTAAAAATAATTTACATTTTGTGATGTAGTTCAGTGATATGCGAGGCCCTGGATTCACTTTCAAGCACCAAATAAATAATATCAATTTAATACTTATTATATATTTGAGGTATTTAGTCATGTGTTTACTGTATATACAATATTTTTTCTCTCTTTTCCCATCCCCCTACCCTCCCTTTAACTCCTCTTTTTCTCCTTATCTCCAAAAGCTTTCTCTCTATTTTTTCATCATTTTTAAAATTTGCCCAGGGCCGGGGAGATGGCTCAGTAGAATAAGCGCTTCCCTGGCAAAGGTAACGGTCTGAGTTCAATGCTCAGTTCCGAAAAAAAAAAATGTGCCCTTCTTTCCTTCCTTTACCCCTCACCATTCCCTAGTTCCCCTTCCCATTTGAGCAGTTTCTTCCTATTTCACAGTATCTATTATACAATTGGCCCTTGTTTACACTTTTGGTTTCCAGACAAGAAACAACTGTGTATTTGCACGTGTCTGATTTATTTCACTTCAGAGTATGGCCTCAAGGTGCCATATATAGTATTTTTTTTACTAGTTTGTCATTTTTCTTAAAATTTTATTATACAACCATAGTACTACGTTTAAACTGTTATATGTCATGTTGAAATTATATTTTCCAGTATTCTGTTTGCATTTTAGCTTTCCTAATCTTTCATTTTTACTTTCACAACATTTAGTTTTATTTAGGAAATTGTATTTTATTAGTATCTCCCTTTATGGATTTGTACCATGTTTTGAAAGTCCTTCTGCGTCTCCAAGATAGGTGAAATATCCACCTAGCTTTCCTACTTTTATGATTTTATATTTTACATTAAGCTACTTATGCTTCAAGATTATGTTAAGGAGTGGCTAGTGATTGCCATAACCTTAAAATCAGGCTTAATGGCCGTTGCAGACCGCTAAAGACCTCATTTTACACCTTCCAGGTAAATATTCTAATACATTATCTTAAAAATAATACAAAAACTGAGCAGAGACAGCCTGAATCACACATTACATTCTCAAAAATGACAGTTTCAAATGTGCCGGGAAGGCAAGCAAGACAGAAGAGATACTGTTTCAATTGCTTAGGATACAGTTTTTCTTTTATTTCAGGCTCAGGAACCTACAATACTGAGGAGGGACTTCTCTCAACTACGAAGGTCTATTACGCAGTCCGTAGGGATACAATAGTGAACAAAACCAAAAGTTTTACTGCTGGTTAATGGATTGTATAAATAAATACATTTCAACAAGTGCTTTACAGAAAACTAGGCAGGTAAGAGCAGGGAAAGTTTCTCTGGGAAGGTGACAATTGCGGAGCTTCGATAATGAAAGCAAAGATCTTAAAGGAAAACATTCCAGCCTAGGTAAATATTTGAGGTGGGAATTAGTTTTGTTGAAAACAGTAAGAAAGTTACCCTAGCTGGCTTGTTATCAAGGAAATGGGGGGAGCCACAGTAACACTCTAAAGACAACTAGGTTACTTTAACTGGGGAATGGGAGTTGCATGTCATGCGGTGCAGTATCACTATTCCTTCAAGAATTAACACCTACCAGAGACTTCTTTGACAGTCTTTTTAGGAATTCCACCGCTATCGACTTTCCCACCCTCTGACAATCACCTTTTTTCAAGTACTTCAGAGTTACCACTTCAAAGAGACTTTTCCATCACTTTTAAACCTTGCAATTCCAGTTTGAGACTCGAGTGCTGTCCCATCCTCCTTCCCTGCTTTCTTTTTAGCACTTAGCAACAACTAATCTAATTTAACTTTCTTTTAAAAAAAATATTATCTCCCCCCAGGAGATAGCAAGATCCAAGATAACCGGGTTTTTATTCTTTAATTCTGGTGTCATTTTCTCAACATCTGCAATGTTGCTTAACCTACGATCGGCGCTCCATAAACGTGTGCTGAACAAACTGTGAAGCTGCTGCATGGACTGGTGGGGACTTGGCAGGTTAGCCTAACATCTCACTTTTGCCTCCCGAAAAAAGACTGACGTAACCCGACGGTGACGGTTTCTTCAGTTTTCAAAATGGGAAAGAGAAGGTTCCCGCAATCCCCAGGACGCGAATTTCTAGCACTAGCCAAAATGGCGGAGAGGGTGGGGCCTGTCACATGGTGGGCGGTGCCGGGCTGCCCCGCTCCCAGCCACCGCCCTCCTCGGCTGGTCGCGGGCGCCCCCGCCCCCGTCCCCTAGACCCGTCCGAGGGCTCGCAGGGATTGGCCGGGAGGCTGGGAACGGGCTCCAGCGCCGGGACGCGGCGCCATCACTTCCTGTTGTGGGCCGTCGTTTCCGGCCGCTGCTTGGTAACAATGGGGAAGGTAATGGCTGCCTGAGCGGCGTCGGGGTGCAGACCTGGGGCAGAGGCGGGTCTCAGCGGCCAGTCCTCGGCGGGAGCTCGCGAGCGCGGCCAGCGAGGCGCGGACGAGCCGCGGCCGGATCGCCGAAGCGGCCGAGCCGGATCCTGCCCCGACGCTGAGTAAGTACGGGCACGGCCAGGCGGCTGCGGGACGCGGAGCGCGCCTGCCGCGGCTCGCAAAATGGCCCGAGCGGCCCGGCGCCCGGGCGCGCTGCTGCAGGCTGCCTCCGTGGCAGAATCGCCGCTGCCATTTTAGCGCCGTGGTGGAGGCGACCGGCGCTGAGGACGGAGGAGGAGGCGGGCGCCGCAGCCCGGCCCGCGCCGCCCGGGACTTCCGCGGGTGTTTCCGCGCCGTGGCCCTGCCCGGGGCTCCGGG